TTGCACAACCTCCCCCTCTGTCTGGTTCTGAACCATTTCATCCCTCCAAAATAAAACCCCGTTCTCCTCGAAACTCCCCCCGCCTCCCCTCAGCCTCTGGCAGCCACCGATGTGCATGTTTTCTCTGTGGGTGCACCTGTTCTGGACATTTCGTATAAACCGTGTCGCACAGATGATGTTTGTGTCTGACTTGTTTCAATAGCATCGTGTTTTTGAGGTTCCCACTTTGTGGCATAGATCATAGTATTTTAACAGTTACCCTAGATACCCACAGACAACTGTCCCCCTATAAGAATGAGTCTTCTAGCCACTGTCATTTACGCCCCAGGCCCTGCCAGTAGGAAGGGGAATGGACTAGATTCACCACTCCCCAAATCAACACCATTAGAGACACGTGGGTGTACCTTTGATCCCTGGGGTGCTGAGTTCGTAGGCTGAGGGGATGCTGTCGGCCCTGTTTGGGACGCCCTGCACCAGGTGACCTTTGGGGCTTTACCTTGGCCCTTATCCACCCACCTGTGAGCCTGAAGCACCTCCCAGAGGCTGGTGCTTAATTGTTCCGATGTGGGTTCTGTGTACAGAGCTCTCTGTGGTGTCTGATGTGGCTGTTTGCATTCGGGGGAGGCGGTGAGCCCCTCCCTGCTGCTTTTACAGCTCCAATTAATTGTGTCTCATTATGGAGCTCAGCTACACCCTGTGAGCTGCAGATTGCAGAGGGAAAGTTGTCCATGCCTTGGGGTGGTGGTTGTAATTGACTGCACATCAAGGTTATGTTCCTGAGAAAGCCCCCCTCCCAGACCCTGTCTTCTGGTCTGTGTGTGTTTCTGGGACCTGAGTGAGCAGACGGAGGAGAGGGATCTGGATTCGATCTGAAGCCTACAGCTGCTGAGGGGCGGGTGCAGGAGGAGAGGCTGGGGAGTCCCTGGGATGGAGAGGGCGGTGAACCCAAACGCCCGTGGAGTGCAGGGACCTGCCGAAGTTCTGCAGGTGTTCTTCATCGCAGGTGGCTCCACGGGCCTCTGGTGTTCTGGTCACTGTCCACGGAAAGCAGATTCCACGTCTTCCTCTTTCCCCTTCGTAGGGCCAGGAACGGAGGCGGGGGAGACGGGAGACGGGGAGGAGGAAGTGAGGCCGAGACTGAAGGCATGATTCTGCGTCCACGGGAGTGCTGTTGGCTCCACTGTCCTGGGTGTCTGCCTGGTGCGTGGACTCCTGTGGCTGACTCAGGCTGTGCTCTGCGGCGAGGGGCACCCGGGCCACCTTGAGGGTCAGCCGCGACTGTGGGCGGCTCACTGGGGACTCTCCCAGGACCGGGCAGGCCGTGCGGACACCTTGCCCAGGAGGGCACTGTGAGGGCCTGGTGCCCTCAGATGAGCCATTTCTTACCAGGGGTTTTTCCCTTTCTGCTGCACTACCTTCAGTGTGTGTTAAGAATGAAAGGGACGCCCTGGCCGATTTGGCTCAGCGGTTAGAGTGTTGGCCTGAGGACCAGGGAGTCCTGGGTTCGATTCTGGCCAAGGGCATGTACCTTGATTGCAGTTTGTCCCCAGCCCTGGTTGGGGTCGTGCAGGTGGCAACTGAGATGTGTCTCTCTCTCCCTCCCACTCTGTCTGAAGATTAAAAAAAAAAAAATGAAAGGGACATCTAGTAAAATAAAAACGGTAGTTTTTAAGAGGTGTGTCACCAAGCGCACTTCTAGGTTCCTCTGTAAAATGCCCCGGATGTTCAGACGCCATTTCCTTCGTGTGGCTCCCACCCGGCCCGTCTAGGGTTGGCTGAGGGGCCCTGGGCATCTCTGGTCCTCTGAGCAGAAAGGCCAGCAAGTTCCGTTCAGACCTCTTCCCCGCTCTGCTCACAGATGGCTTTGTAATGTCATGTCATTGGTACCTGCAGAGGGGCTGTGTGCAGGCGTCCCAAGTTCAGTGTTGGTAGGCTTCTCATCTCAGATCCCAGATGAACTTGGACGACTGTTCCAGGTTCCAAATCTTTACTGTATTGATGCTGTGTAACTTCTCTGTGTATTCCTCTCTGTTCTAAGGCTGAGGGTGGTTTTGGAGGGGAGACACCATTAGCCTGCCTTCCTGGGCACCTGGGCTGGTGGGCTTCTGGGCCAGATGCTGCCAGACTCTGCCCCCCAGTGACAGCTGAAAAGGAGGGGGAGGGGAGCCTACAGTAAGGGTTGGAGGCGGTGGGGACCCCTCGGCTCCTTTCTCCCTGTGGAATTCTGGGTTAGTTTACTTATTTCTATTTTTTTATTATGTATTGGCTTTGGGTGTGGCTCGCTCAGTGGTTTGACAACCACACACTTTGCATAGTGTTCCCCTTGGTATTGCCAGTACCAACTGGCAGCACACGTGGTTTTCACAGCATTGCTGTCTCCCACGTGTTACTTCCTGTGCCTCTCTGCAGCTCCCGCTTTCTGCTTTAGCCCTCCACCTGCTTCACCCAGTGCCCACTCGCGTGCTTCAGTTTGTTCATTTATTTGTTCTTTAGACTCCACACATGAGTGAAATCATAGGGTAGTTGTCTTTTTTTCTGACTGACTGACTAGGTCCATCCATGCTGTCACAAATGGCGAGAGTTCATTCTTTTTATGGCTGAATAATATTCCATTGTACGTATGTAACACTGCTTCTTTAAAAATTTTTTTTATTTTTTTATTTAGAGAGAGAGGAAGGGAGAGAGAGATGGACACATTGATGAGAGAGAACATTGACTGGCCGCCTCCTGCATGCCCCCACTGGGGATGGGGCCCACAACCTGGGCATGTGCCCTGACCGGGAATCAAATTGGCGGCCTCTTGGTGCCTGGGTGGACAATCAACCGCTGAGCCACGCCGGCCGGGCTGTAATCCTGCTTCTTTAGTCGCTTGTTGGTGATGAGCACGTGTCCGTGCCCGTAGCTCAGCTGATGTGAGTAAGTAGCACGGTGGTGAGCAGAGGCGCGTGTGTTCTTCGGAGTCTGTTTCGGATTTCATCGGCTACGTCCCCAGAAGTGGAACTGCTGGGTCGTCAAGCTACTTACGTCTACTTTTCATTTGCACTTCTCTGTTGATGCCTGCCTAGACGTATCCGAGAAGGAACATTTTGGGATCGACATATTTTCCTAAAAAATATCACGGGTCTTTTTCTTTAAAAAGGTCTCATTTCAAATATTTTCCATGAGTTTGGATTCTGGATTGAATTAGATGCAGGTGCTTACGACCCAAAGCAGGTCGTTAAGGTTTGCTTTTGGCCCCGTGAGCGTGTCTGCAGACAGGAGCTTTCTCTCCTCCCTAGCATCTCAAGAAGGGGGTGGGGAAGTCAGGGCGGAGGGGTGAGCAGGGGAGGGAGGAGAAAGGCCCTGGGGGGAGGGGAGGTTTTCTTGCAGAGCTCCCGGCTCTGAAGGCCCACAGCAGGGGTGTCCTTTGAGGTGGGCAGGGGCTGCTGCCCAGAAGCTCTGGTGCCCAGGCAGGGCAGTGAGGTCGGAGAGACAGTGGAACATTCTCTCCCCAAGCAAGAGGGGGAACCTGCTCTTGACTCCTGGGCCTTTGCGCTGACTTCGAACTTGACGCCAGCCCTCAGAATTTCTGTCCTTCACACAGAGGGGTCCAGTGTATGGCTCCAGCCCTTCACCTGTCAAAGTGACCAGTGAGCTAGGAAAAACGGAAGGAATGTGGGTTGTTGTCCGTAAGCAGAAACTGTCTAAAAGAACTGTTCTTTTCTGAGATGATAGGTTCTTGGTGTTAACATAGCCTTTGTTTAAAAATTTTGGTGGTGGTGGATGGTGGTCGTATTGCTCAGGGGTAGGAACATAGCCGGTGCCCCCCGGGAGCTCATGCGTACTCACCTCTAGTGACGAGGACTGAGAAGCCGGTGGCCTGATCAGCAGAGGCTGCGTCCGCAGGGCCCGGGCTCCTCCCTGCTGCGGCTCTGCTCCTCTGGGGACGCAGTGTCTCGAATGCAGCCTTGGGCTGGAGAAACACCAGGGCTGCGTGGGGCCGGGACTCCTGACCCTTCCCTCACAGTCCGCCGGCTGGACTCGGCCGGGTTCCCGCCCACGGCCCGCAGCCTGCGCAGGCGTCGCTGTGTCCCCAGGGAGAGGGAACGGCAGAGCCGATGAGCCATGCTCTGACACAGTGGCTGTTTCTGTTCTTGCCTGGCAAGAAGAGACGTGGCCAAGCGTCCTGCTGGCCCTCCTCATGGATTTCCATTTTCCCGGTGCAGATTCAGAAGCAACAGGGCGGCTGCAGAAATCCAAGGCCGTTGCTTTGGGTTCCTGGAAGCTGCTTCCTGACGCAGGACGCTCAGAACGGCCTGGGCAGCACTGCTGCGTTGTGGATGTCTTCCGAGGTCCCCTCCTGTGAGCTGCGGCAGCCGGGCCGCCTGGAGCCCGGGCAACGCTGGCGGGCGGCCTCTCCGGCCTGTGCACTGTTGTGCGGGAGAAGCTGTCTCGGTGTTTTGGGTCCTGTCCCATGTGTGGAGCAGGGACAGTAACAGGGGTTTCACAGCTCCGTGGGAGCCTGAGCAGATCTGTTACCCTCCTGTTGCAGTGTAAACAGCGGAGCACTCGGGCTTATCCGGGAGGTCGCGTCTGGTGGAGTCTGTAGCAGGAAACGTGTCCACCCTGGCCCAGGGCTCCCGTTCAGGACTCGTCATGCCCGAGTGACAGAGGATCGAGAGTCCTGCTTTAGAATGTGTATGGCCAGCCCTGGCCGGTTGCTTAGTGGTTAGAGCGTCGGCCCACAGACCAGAGAGTCCCAGGTTCGGTTCCCACTAAGGGCACGTACCTCGGCTGTAGTTTGTCCCCGGCCCCGGTTCGGGGTCGTGTGGGTGGCAACCAATCAATGTGTCTCTCTCACATTGATGTTTCTCTCTCTCTCTTCCTCCCTCTCTCCCTCCCGCTCTATCTGAAGATAAATGCAAAAGTGTCCTCGGGTGAGGATTTAAAAAAAAAAAAGAATGTTTATGGCCATCACGCGTCAGGGGTCCTCATTTCTGTGTTGGTTTTGTCTCTTTCAGGTTAGTCTGAATGATTCCCACAACCAGATGGTGGTGCACTGGGCTGGAGAGAAAAGCAACGTAATTGTGGCCTTGGCCCGGGACAGCCTGGCGTTGGCAAGACCCAAGAGCAGCGACGTAAGTGCCTCCGGGCTCGCCTCAGCCCGGCTGAGTGCCCTCTGTCGTCCCCCAGGGTTGTCATTCCAAGAAAAGTAGCGGGTAGCTGGAGAATGGATGGGATGAATTATAAACAGAGAAGAGAATCTAGAAAATAAGAAATCCCCCTTCGCTGCTGACCACAGGGTCGTGCGGACGATGACACACAGATCCATGTCATGTGTGGTTACTTTGGTGAGTGACGGGTGAGCTGGGTGGTTGTGTCTGCTCAACAAAGTGCCTTCCTGGGCAGAGCTGTGTGTCTGCTGCAGAGCCTGCCGGGTCTGTCGGTCCTTCCAGGTGCTCGTTGCTCCCAGCACCTCGCAGTGGCTGGGTTAGTGAATCGGATTCACTCATGTTCCTAATGTCCACACTTGGCTTAGACAGTGTCTAACAGTCAGGTGCTTTGAAGACCAGGTGTCACATGCTTGCACGCCTAAGAGTGGCCAGGAGTAACAGGCAGGAATGAAACTCTCTCCAAGCTGACGACATTTTTTACCTCCACAAAGAATATGGTCTCTTTTATTTTTCTTGAATTACATGGCCCTCTGGGACAATATGTCATTTTCCCACTTTTTTTATCCTTACCTGAGGATCTTTCTACATTTATCTTCAGAGCGGGAGGAAGAGAGAGAGAGAGAAACATCGAGTGGCTGCCACCCACACGACCCCAACCAGGGCTAGGGACAAACTGCAGCCGAGGTACGTGCCCTTAGCGGGAACCGAACCCGGGTCTTTCTGGTCCACAGGTCGATGCTCTAACTGCTGAGCCACACCAGCCAGGGCCTGAGCCCACTTTTAATAGAGACATAGGTTCAGAAAACTTTCACCTGTATCTCAATATGAGCCTGAGGTTGGTACTTGGTCTCAGTATCCAGGAGACACTACAAAGTGCACAGGACTTTGCAGAACTGGAGAGAAACACTCCTGAGGAGTCGTGTTGTCTCCCTGCTAGATGTCACGCAGGACGCAGGGCGCAGGGTGCAGGGCCCAGTGTGGCCAGATCTTCTGACTTTTCAAGAGAAGCTCAGAGGTCTGGATTTGTGTGCAAAAACTGCTGATTCTTACGAGTTGGGCCCTGTGTGTGATTTTGCAGACAACCTGTGAGCCAGGTGAAACAGGTGAGGGCCAGAGCTGGCCCTTGGGTCTCAAGTCTTTGGCTTCTGTGCCAGGTTTCCCTGTAGGGAGGAGGAGCAGCCCCTGTCTTGGGTTCAGGTGTGACGTGGCGACAGGGTAAAGCTGTGGACAGAGAAACCTGCTGCGGAGCTTTGGTGGCTCTGCAGTCTGGCCAGAGGACACCTCTGGTGAATCTGCCAGCCCTGTCCCAGCAGCCGAAGGACACAGCTGTCGTTCTTGAGTGTAGATGGGCTTCGTGCGGCCCCTCTCTGCACCCACCACCTGGGTGGGACGTGCTCAGGGGGAGGTGACTAGGGAGCCCTGGGAGCGGTGTTCTGTTGCGTCGGGGCAGCTGCGGTGATGCCCAGGGTGGGTGCTGAGCACGCAGGCGGGGAGCTGCTGTAGGGGACAGCCGCTCTGGGTGCAGGAATCTGCAGCCGCTCTGGGTGCAGGAATCTGCAGCAGGGCAGGGCTTGTTCGGGGCCCTGACTGCAGCCGTCTGAACGCAGCCAGGCTTTGCGAGCGACAGCAGCGTGTGGGTGCCCCTCGGCCTGCCAGAGTCTGTGGGCGCCGTGGGTCAGCCCAGTCGCTGCCCGCGGCATGGCGTCCAGCACGGGAGATGGCTGCGCCCTCCGTGCTGAGAAACCCGCAGAGCTTTCGTGCATGAGAACATTATTGCCCAGGTGGTGGTATTTTCTGTGGGAGACATAGGGAAAGGCCTTGATAATTGTTTTAGGGTTTTGCTGGACAGACCGAGGCTAGAGTTATTAAGTGACTTGCATGAGGTTACTTCGCAGGACTGTGGGCGAGTTGGGGCTCATGAGAATCAAGGCCCAATCACATGCTTGGAATGTGAGGATGTGGTTGCGAGGGGGACCGGCTGGCCTGGTTTCAGCACCGGAAGCCCCACATCCTGGGACCATCCTCAGTCCTGGATGAACCAGGATGGTTGGTCACTTTGGTAGTGCCAGTCTACCCAAACCCAGTTCTTCTTCTGTCTAAATATGTGGGTGTATCTAGAGGAACAATATACTATTCTGGAATGAAGTACATGTGAGATTAAATGGAAAGGAAATTTTTTTTTTATCCTCACCCAAGGAATCTTTGCATTTATCTTCAGATAGAGCGGGAGGGAGAAAGGGAGGAAGAGAGAGAGAGAAACATCGACATGACAGAGACACATGGAGTGACTGCCACCCTCAAGACCCCAACGAGGGCTGGGGACAAACCACAACTGAGGTATGTGCCCTTGGCGGAAACCAAACCCGGGACTCTCTGGTCCGCAGGCCGATGCTCTAACCGCCGAGCCAAACCAGCCAGGATAAATGGAAAGGAAATTCATTGCTTAGACATACAAAATAAGGATGGCAGAGATCTCCCCATGCATACAAGCTACATGAAAGAACTGACAGGTGAAACTGAGATGTTCAGATGTGAAAAGTTAGTGCAAGAATAAATTAGGTCTCAGAGGCAGGAGTTGCTTGTGTCAGAGTAGAAGCAGTCGACGTTTTCTTTGAAGACAGCTGGGTCGGAAGGCCCGTCGGCCGTCCAGGTGGGGCGCACCCACGCAGACAGGTCGGAAGGCCCGTCGGCCGTCCAGGTGGGGAGCACCCACGCAGACAGGGACCTGTGAGTGCTGGAGCATGGTCATCTCATGCCTGTTCTGTACAGAAAAAGGGACGAGCCTGGAAGCTGGAATCCAGACAGTTTGCTGTCAGAAAATAAATGAATAAATAGCTAGCGTCTTGATGAACTGGTAGCGGCGGATTGAGGAAGAGTGGCTGCTGAGGCACCTCTCTGTCTGACAGGTCTGCTAAATGTAGGGAAACAATAGGTGTTACTTACCTCGGCCCCGCCCATCTCTGGTTCTGCTCTCTCCTGTTCTGCGAAGTACTCAGGACGCAACATCATGGGCCACGCAGCTCTGCAGACATAGTGCCCACCGCACGATCAGTCCGCCAGGGGAGGGATCAGGCGTGAGAGCACGGCTGCCCTGTGCCCAGAGCGGCCCGACTCGGTGCCCTCAGGACTGGCTGGCAAGCAGCCCAGCACAGTGATGTTGTTGGTAGATTCTGCAACTTGCAGTGAAAGACATGTAATGAAACCGACTTTACCACAGGCTAATGCATATCAACAAGAGTTACGTTCCTAGGTATAAGGAACTTTACTCATCCATGCTATAAGGAAACAGTGTTGAACGAAGTGACTTTATTTGAGAGCCTGCTGTACTTGCTAACAGCACAGAACTTGGTAGCCAGGGGATGCGGTGTCCAGCGGAGCACCGACTCTGAAATCGGGGTGCCAGGGTTCTCATCCTGACCCTGCCACTCGTTAGCAGTCTGGCCTGGGGCAAGTCGTTTACTTCTCTTGGTCTTCCCTTCTGTCATGAGACGGTGCTCGTGAGAGACCTTGCTGTCCGAGTGTGGCCTGTGGGTCGGCAGGCACTGGGATTCTCTGCAGCTGGTGGGCAGTGCGGATGCTCTGGCCTCACCTCAGACTGCCTGAAGCAGAAGCTGCATTGTCACCAGCGCCCTGCTGGGTGATGTGCAGGCCTTTCACGGTGTGAGAAGCGCTGCTTGGAAAGGACTTAGAATGGTGCCAGATAGGAAACAGTTTCTGTGCATTTCGGCCCTTCTTCCCTGACTGTTCCCTCCGCCCTTCTCTCTTCTCTCTTCCTTCTCCTCTTCATCATGACTGTATGATTGTGAGGTACAGGGAAAAGAATGGAAAACCATTCACTTCGAAGAACTTACCTTTGTAGGTAACACAGTGATCTAACCCTGACTTTTGGCAGTTTAGGAAGTCCTTCCCTTTTATTTTGTTCTTTGGGGAGTAGTGTCACGTGGAGGTCAGAGAGGACTGGTGAGCGCAGGAACTTGGGTCTGGCTGGAAGGCAGCGCACGGAGCCCGAGACCATCAAGTACAGGGACTTGCCCACCCGCTGCCGATGCAGACAGTGCCCGAGCAAGCAGCCTGCCACTGCCGCGCAGAGAAATGGGAGGTTGGGACAGCAAGGGACTTTGGGGAGGTTACTTCGCATTCTGGCAGACACCCAGAATGTGCCACTGGGGTGCTGTGTGGAGCCGGGAGGCCCTTAGCCCCTTGGCTTTGTCTGACCACCGGCACAGGTGTTTTCTGGGCTCCTCACTTCGGAGGAAGGGGATAGCTGTGCCCAGCCCTGAGTGTGGGCTTCACCCTTGAGCTTACGGTCTGTGCTAATCTAAGAGCTAATCTAATAGAAATGAGAATTCTGAGGATCAGATAAAATCATTGTGTTGGAATAATGTAACCTAGAGCAGGAAGGAAAGGGGATGAGTAGTTCCAGAGAGCCTTTGGGCGAAGGACGGACCTTTACATTCTTGGTCTTAACTTCTATTAAGTAAAAGATGCGGAGAGATGGTTTTGTTCACAGGCGAAGGTGAAGGAAGAGTGTTTTGGCAGGGAGGCTCTTACCTCCGAGGCTGGGAGGGCCGCAGCGTGGCCGAGAATCCCCGGAGGGCTCTCCCTCTGCTCAGGTCGGTCATTTCTGCCTGCTGGCCAGCACTCCTTCCCCAGCCTGGCGTCCACTTGTGTCTGACCGTCCTCGTCCACAGAGAAACACGTGTGCAGACGAGAACACTCTCCTGCAAGAGAGGAAAGACAGTGGCCTTGGAGCTGGAGGGCTGTCATCGTTCTGCACTTATTAACAGTAATGCCACGGGGCTGTCCACTGCTTCTGTTAGTGTTTGCTATCTCTTAAACTGTTCACTCAGTCCCGATGCCTTTACTTGACTCTTTCCTGTGTTTATGGAACACGTGCGTTACTCGCTCTGTGGTTTATAATGATACTTGTTTATTCCAGAAATCTCGACTGAGTACCTGCTGTGTTCCAGGTACACTGAAGGAGACCAAGGTGTGAGTAACTCAGAGCGTTTGAAGATGAAGAGAGGAGCCCTGGCCGGTGTGACTCCGCAGTTAGAGCATTGGGCCGTGGGTTCGATTCCCAGTCACGGATGGCATGTGCCTGGCTTCATCCCCGGCCCTGGCTGGAATGTGTGCAAGAGGCAACCAATTGATGTGCCTCTCTCACATTGAGCCTCCCCTCCCCCAACTCCTCTCTTCCACTCTCTCTAAAAATCAATGGAAACATATCCTTGGGTGAGGATTAACAACAACAATAACAGAAAGATGGAGAGATACAATGTAGACAGAGCGGTGTGTCTTATTATCCCCTTATGCCTCTGAGGGGTAACTGCTCTGGAGTGATCAGTTTATGGGATTCTGGAGCTGGACAGGACTTGAGTCATTCCTTTGCTGCTGTGACTTCTGACCCTAATGTCCATCCTTGGCCAGGAGGATCGAAGTGAGAAAGGACACTCTGTCTTTTACCCACTCACATTATCTGTGAACCCTCAACCTGCTGAATTTGTGAAGCTGCTCTTCTGGTACATCCTTTCTGTGCGTTTGGGAGTCGGGAACACACGCTATTTACACGTGTGTTTGTAATGGTTTTTTTTCCGCTGTGGCCCAGGTGTTGGCAGAGGCACTGGCTGTACTCTTGTGAGCTTGACATCTAATGAATGTTAATGACTCGGTGTGCTCAGTTCCCTTGGCATATACAGGTCATTGTTTACAAGGGCATTCTTCGTAAATATTTACGTGTTTACGTTGTGTCTAAGGGCATGTCTCTGATGTCTGGTCCTGGCTTAGTTCCCGGCTTACGCAGAGCCCGTGAGACCAGCTTGCTGTGGAGTCCGTGGGCAGTAAGGCAGCACACTTTCGAGGATCAGTCCAGTGGCTTCCATTTTTCTTGGAATTCACCTGTCCTTTTTCTTTAGTGCCCACCTCAGTTCTAACTAAGTTGTTATTAGTACTATGTTCATCTGTCAGGCTTGTTAACCCACGGATGGCGGTCATGTATTTCATGGCGTCCAGGTATAAAATCCTGCAGCACTCCACCTGCCAGCCTAGCCTGAGCGGCGTGGCTCAGTCTGGGTGAGGCGGGCAGCCTGGGTCGGAACCCACGGAGCTGCCTGCGGTCAGTGTTGCTTTGGTAGGGGACTCATCTCGGAACCCGTGTCTTCTCTGAAGATGGTTCTCAGTTGTGTTTGCCACGTGGGGCTGGAGCGCGAGCGGCCTGGGCCCCTTGTTTGAAGGCTCTGGTGCAGTGTCCGCACATAGGAAGCACCCCTGAACGGCCGCCCTCCCCCGTGTCACCACTGGCTGCCAGACGGTGGCGCCTAGAAGCAGAGGAGGAGGAAGGGCCGTTGGCGCGGCCTGGGCCCTGCTGCTGCTCCGCAGACTTGGCCTCTCCCAGGCACGGGATCAGAAAGCGGGGGTGCTGGGCGGAGGCTCTGCTGCCCAGTCTCCAGCTGTGTCTTAGCACGTCTCTGCGTCTCGGGCCGCGCTGTGGGGACCCACGAGGCTTTCCGCTTCCCGTCTTCCAGAGTCCCCTCGGAAGGGTGAGGAGTCAGGTTACCTTGTGGGGACATGTCAACAGATGGCAAAACACATTCTCAATCCCTTCCCCTCAGACAACTTCCTTCTGTTTGCCTCTGGATGTAATTTGTTAAACACTTAACTCAGCCTGCGGAGGCTACATTGTTTCCATTTGCATGTCTTCCTCCCCAGGGTGTCGGTAGGGGCGGTGGTTGCCTGCTGGCAGGCTTTCTGCCCCCCTTTGCCGGGGACAGACAGAGGCACCCGCTTCTCCTTTGTGGGTCATCGTGTCATATCCACGGGCTGTCGGGAGGCCCCGCTGAGGATCTGGGCAGGATGCTTGGAAATGTCAGATCTTCTGCCACATGTCTCACCAACTCGTTTCTTCTCCTCCCTCTTCCACGGCCCAGGTGTACGTGTCGTACGACTACGGAAAGTCGTTCCAGAAGATCTCAGACAAGCTGAGCTTCGGCGTGGGGAACGGCAGTGCCGCTGTGATCGCCCAGTTCTACCACAGCCCTGCGGACAACCAGCGCGTAAGGCCCGCTGCGCCCGCCTGACCTCGCGGCCGTTCGGGGAAGACGGTCGACCCCGGGGGCGGGCAGGGGACTGCTTGTCATCTCTGTAGTGTGGCCGGTAGCCAGTGACAGTTTTTCTGTTGACCTGGGACTTTGTGACGGAGTCGGGTTCTCAGGGTGGAACCGTTCATGGCCAAGCAGGCCGGTCCCGGCCAGGCAGGGCTTCTAGACAGACAGTGGCAGGTGAGAGCTCAGAGAATCCGGCAGCTAATAAATTGGGTGACTCGTAGGTGGCAAAATTGTTACCGAGGCCCCAGACTTTATCTTGCAGGCTAGTCAAGGTCTTCCAGAGCGGCTGCTGGACTCTCGGTTTTCCTGGCATTACCTATGTTTGTGCGCACGTGTGTATGTGTGTATGAGTGTGCATGTGCATGTGTACATGTTCATGTGTGCATGCGTGTGCGTGTGTGTGCGCACCCTCACCCTCCTCCCTCCGACCTGTACTAGCACAGGAAAGGTCACCAAGGCACTCGATTTTGCTGGGCCTCCTGACCTGTCCTCCCAACTGGCTGGCCTGGGGCTTGTTTCTGCAGGAGACGCCCCTACAGTGTGACTTGGAGGAACTTGCTCTAGGTCCCACGGGAGGCAGCATGATGGCAGGGGCAGGGTGAGGAGCCAGCCCCACGGGGCTTTCCTGCCCGTGGGGAGCTCTGGCTGTGGTGGGAGTGGCATCTGCTGCTTTGTCCCCACGTGGGATCCCCGCTTACCCCCAGGAGGATGGCTGCTTCTGTGGATGCTGAGAACTCTGCAGCAGCCGAAGCTTTCTGAGGGGAACCGCGCCTGCTCCTCTGCTCACCCGGAAGGCACCAGAGCGGGAGACACAGGCTCTCCCAGTGCCGGCTTCTCTCACTGCCTGTGGTCAGAGGTTTTATGGAAAATATTTAGCCACTGAATTGGTACTGACAAATCAGATGTCTGGTTGGGGAGCCGGGTCCTGAAGGCCACCCTGCTGGGCTGGGCATTAACCTTTACGTTCCTGGATTTGGGGGAAGTCTTGGGGAAGAGGCCAGGCCACGGGCTTTTGGAGGGCTACTCAGAGGTTTCAGGGAAGTGGGGTACAGAAGCAGTTTTGGAAACAGCTGGAGTGGCCATTGGCCTCATGCCGGCCAGGGGTCAGCCCTGCTGGAGCTCGGAGTGCAGCGGCCGCTGCGGATGGCCTCTCCTCTCACCTCACTGCAGGGATGGGCAGCAAGGAAAAGGTGTCGGGGGAATTGGCTTTGTAGACAAGACTGCCAGCCCCCTGTCACCCCTGTGACTCACAGGTGCCTCTTGTGCGGTGAGGAGCCTGGCCCGGGGTCCAGCTGGCTGGCTGTGCCCCAGCTCTGTGGATAGATCTGTGTGCCTCCTGCCGCCTGGGAATCGGATGACACTTGGGTTATTCAGTACGTCATCTTGTACCGGTTACTGTTTTTACACCTTGTCCCAGAGCTGTGTTCAAGTGGTGGCCTTGAAACCACCTTCCTGGCTGTGGAATCTTCCTTTTAACTCCCCCAATCCCTCTGCACCCCCCAAGGGCACCGATGTCCATACGCAGGTTCTTTTCCTTCCTTTTTGCTATGGGCTACAGTGAGCCGCTGCTAAGCCCCGTGTCTGAACAGTCAGAAGTCAGGAAGGATGATGTTATGGGCTTTTAGGGGAGCGTAAGGGACTTCTAGAGCATGAGGTCCAGAGAGGGAGCAGAGCAGGGCTGTGATGTTGGGCACGGAAGGAGACACCTGGGCTGACCAGTGCAGCGTGTGGGGTGCTGGGTGCTGCGAGGTGCGTGCTGGGTGCGGGGTGCTGCGAGGTGCGTGCTGGGTGCGGGGTGCTGGGTGCTGGGTGCTGCGAGGTTTGTAAATCCTCACTTGATGCCATTTATCTTCAGATAGAGTGGGAGGGAGGGAGGGAGGAAGGAGGGAGGAGGGGGAGGAGGGAGGAGGGGAAGGAGGGAGGGGGACTTCTCCTCTGCTCCCTTTCCCTGCGCTCTGGTGTCTGCACAGTTTCCCGTGCTGACATGGAGGCACATTCTGTTGCTCACTTTGTCATCTTCCCAGAGGTGTCTGTGGAGTCAGAGCAGACAGCTTTATGCTGATGGATGACGCTCCTCTGGAGTATCGGGGTGCAGATGGGGCTGGAGAGCTGGGTGCGAGGACACTGACTGGCACTGTTCGGAAAGCCCTTGTAGGCTGGGTCTGCTGGCAAAGCTGTGGGCGGCCGTGAGTGGACGTGACAGCCAGGAAAGTACCGGAGCTTCAGGGCAGAGCAGACATGCGTGGCTCCTTCCTGTGTGCACAGGGCAGTGCAAAGGCCGCCCACCTGAGTGATGGGTGAGACCTGCAGGAGGTAGAGCTGGGCAGAGGGCGAGGGAGAGCACAGAGGTGAGGGCTGTGTGGGGCAGCAGGGTGAGGAATGAAGCTTCGAGCACGGCCCTGCTTTCGGTGGCTGCAGCAGAGTGCGTGGGAGCCTCCCGGAGGAGAAGGGCGTGGGCAGCGACTTCCAGGTGCCACTGTGCTTTCTGTCCGGGTCGTGAGGACACCGCTTCTTGGGGGTGGAGGCCGTGCACGGAGGTCATCATGCTGTTAGTCACGCCCCCCCCCACGGCTGAAGAGGAAGGGGTTGCATTTTGCTGTGAAGACAGTAGGGAGCTGGAGGGGTTGCTGAGGAGGGGAGTTCTGTGAACAGCGTCTCTTAGGGAATCTGTGTCCTGGAGATGCGTAGGCTGGGTTGGCAGGAAACATTGCAGGAGAGCCAGGGAGCCACTGTGGCAGCCCAGGCGGAGTTTCCCAGTTCGCACCCAAGCCTGACATCACCGCGAAGTGTTTCACATCCTGCAGGTCTTAGAAGACCGGAGGGTGAGTCAGGCCCAGAGCCCAGTCCTGATGCTGCCTCTAAGGGACATGGGCGACATTGTAGCACTAGGGATACAAAGAAGGCACAGAGTATGGAAACGATTTCAAGGGCAAACATAATGGGAAGCGGCTGGTGCCAGTGAGGGCAAAGGAAGGCGGGCAGTGAAAACCAGCTCCAGCTGCCAGCCCCTGGGCGGGGAGGTGTGATGTGGCTGGAAGTGGGGACACGGAGGAGAATGGGGTTTTGGTGGGAAGGTATCAAAGGATCAGTTTTGGACATAGTGGATCATGTTGGCACAGCACAGCACAGAGGCTGGGAAGATGATTCTGGGTGGCACTAGCACCTCAGTGAGACGGGGTCAGGCTGCGGATGGGAATGTCAGGGCCGCCTTGTTCCTGGAGGCGCCAGTTGCAGCCGTGAGGAAGGATAAACCGCGCTGTCAGCCAAGGATGGAAGAGGGACGGGTTACGTGAGGGTGGGACAGTGGACCGAAACAACAGCCAGCGCAGGACAGTGAGGAGAGAGGTGGTCAGGACCAGGGGATGGGGGCTGAGATGGGACGATGTTGCCGAAGAGAAGTGAAGAGTTTCCAGTAGAAGGAGTGAGTTAACAGCAGCACACGAGTGAGTCCCGCAGCACCACGCAAGACCGATGCGTGGCCTTGCGGAAACATTGCCTTTTGATGTGAGAAGAGAGGTAGGGGTGGGTGGACTGTGAGAGATGTGCCTGCTGTCCACTCCTGTCACCTTGGGCAGTTCCCTCTCTGCGCGTCGTGGCCGCATTAGTCAGAGGGAGATGGTGCTGGTGTCTGAAGCAGTGAGCTGCTGTGATGGGGGGGGCAAAGCTTGAGCTCGCGGCCTGGCACAGGAAACGCTGCAGAACGTGACTTCTATGACTGAATGCGTGGTTTGTGGATTCTAAAATGTGAAACTGCAGGAAGCCATGGGATAATTTTTTTTAAATTCATCTTTATTGTTTTTTGTTTGTTTTTTTTTTTTTTATCCTCACCCGAGGACATTTTTCCATTTTTTGTTCAGATAAAGTGGGAGGGAGAGAGAGGAACAGAGAGAGAGAGAAACATCGATGTGAAAGGGACACATCGAGTGGCTGCCACCCGCACGACCGACCAGGGCCGGGGACAAACTGCAACCGAGGTACGTGCCCTTAGCGGGAACCGAACCCGGGTCTCTCGGGACCGCAGGCCGACGCTCTAACTGCTGAGCCAAACCGGCCAAGGCCATCTTTATTGTTGAAAGTACTACAGATGATGTCCCTCTTCTTTCCGCCGTGCCCCCCCCCCCCCCCCACGCGCTGCACTGCTGTCTGTGTCCCTGGGTTGCGCATATGGATACCAGTTCTCTGGTTTATCTCGTCCCACCCCTACTCCCTTCCCTCTGGGGTTCATCATTCTGTTCCCTACTTCCACGTCTCAGGATTTATTTTGTTCGTTAGTTTATTTTGTTCATTATATTCCAAAAATAAGTGAGATCATGTGGTACTTGTCTTTCTCAGATTGGCTTATTTCACTCAGCATAATACTCTCCAGGTCCCTCCAAAGAATAGAAGATCTTTTTTCTTACAGCTGCATAGTACTCCACTGTGTATATGTGCCACAGCTTTTTCTTGTTTGTTTTTTGTTTTTTTGTTTTTGTTCAGATAGAGTGGGAGGGAGAGAGAGGAAGAGAGAGAGAGAGAAACAATGATGTGAAAGGGACACATGGAGTGGCTGCCACCTGCACGACCCAACCAGGGCCGGGGACAAACTGCAACAGAGGTACATGCCCCTAGCAGGAACCGAACCCGGGTCTCTCAGGACTGCAGGCCAATGCTCTAACCACTGAGCAAAACCAGCGAGGGCTGTACCATAGCTTTTTTGTCCATTCATCTACTGATGGACACTTGGGCTGTTCCCAGATCTTAGCTATTGTAAATAGTGCTGCTATGACCATGGGGGACATATATTCCTTCTGATTGGTGTTTCAGGCTTCTTAGGATATATTCCTAGAAGTGGGATCACTGGGTCAAATGGCAGTTCAATTTTTAACTTTTTGAGGTAACACCATAGTGTTTTCCCTAGTGGCTGCACCAGTCTGCATTCCCACCAGCAGTGTACTAGAGTCCCCTTTTCT